GGCTTAGGGCTTGGGGCTTAGGGTTGGCTCCCAAAGCTCTCCTGCATCATTTCGCCATTGTGCTGCTGCTCGTGCTGCTTGTTGACCGGGATAACCACTCCCAGGGGTGCTTGAAAAGTGTAAAGCATATCCGCAAGTTCACCGCAGGCCCCCGCACCAGCAGTTACGATGCCGTGTCCTTGCGCCAACTGACAGATTCGCATGACGTTGCTGCGGCCCTTCAATTCAGCCGGTGCACTTAGGCGGCTGTGCTTGTGCCAGTCCCGGCCGCAGCCGACGACGAGCGTTCGGGGATGATCCTGAATGTGTCGAAAGTAGTGCTCAAGGATGGAGCGTCCGCTCAGATGCGCATAAATGTAGATAATGTGCTGGATGGTGTCCTCGGAGGCACCGTCGGCGTGGACAATGCCCTCATGTGCCTGGCCTGCCTCTTCACTGGTGATGCGGCGGCCATGCTCTAGCAGGAACTTCACGGCCAACTTGCGATCGGCAGCGAAGGAATAGACCTCTAAATCCACACGATTAAAGCGGCGAAAGACAGGATCCACAATGTCAACATGTGCCACTCTCAGGCCTTGTCTTCCCATGTTCAGCACCTTGACCAAAAAGGTGCTCCGAATAAGCTTGCCCAACGTCGCCAGCTCGGCGTCTCTGAAGAGATGTGGGTGCATTTTGTACCAGTATATCTCGGACACCTTTTCAAAGTGGCCCTTGTATGCAAGGATATCTTCTCGTTCGCGGATGCCAAAAGAGTGAAGCAGCAAGTCCTGATGGTTTTCGTAGTCTAAGCCATGCAACCGGGGTGGTCCCTCGGTTGCGTTCAGCATCTCTGCTCGCAGCTTCAAGGTTGCAGAGGTTAGGTTTGGGTCCATGTCTGTGATGACCACGATCTTCGCGTCCGCCGCTGTCTCAGCGAGCCTCTACTCCCCTTAGAGGTTTTAAGGCTCCTTTTAAGGAAGGTTTAAGGGATCCTACAGAGGCTAAGAAAACACGTACCTTCCGGTGGAATAGTGTGCAGGAGCAAACGCTAGTCAAAGTATCCCAAGTAGAGTCAGGGAGCAGCACATCCATCAAAGAACGCGCTGTAGGGAGGAGGCTGGGGCCAAGGTCATCCCATGAAAATGATGCCTGTGAGTCGAAGAGGACAAAGCCGCGGTCGCAAAGTAACCTCAAGCGCAAGTAAGCACCAAACCCGAAGCCTTGAACCTAAACCCTGAACCCTAAACCCTAAACCCTAAACCCTAAACCCAAACCCTCCACCATAAGCCAGGCCAAGCTGCCGCTTGGCTTCCTCACCTCGGTAGACCTCCGGCCGTGCCACGACCATCTCCCACATCCTAAGATTCCGGCAGCCCCTCCCTCATGAGGCTTCCTTTAAAGGCTCCTATAATTTCAGGTTCCTTTGAGAACTTTACTCAGGCTTTCGGGTTTGAAGCTTAGGATTTGGCGTTTTGGGTTCAGGATTTAGGATCTTTTTATCTCCTCCTTAGTATTCAATCGTAAACGGTGCAATCAAAAACAAAAACGGAAACAGGACACTGCTAGGAACCTAGCATCAGCTCCTTTGCGGCTGCACCTGCTTGCGTGGTATAGAAGCCGGTGACGCTTTTCAGGGCACGCACGAAAATCAGCCGACAGTGTCGTTTCAAGAGCGGCGAAAGCTTGCCCAAGATGCTCTGCGTGTGATCTACCTTCTGCCGCTTCTCTTGCCTAAGTTGTCCTTTAAGCCCTTTGAAAATTATTTACTATTATGGTTCTCTACAAAATAGTAAGGGAAATTAAAAAAGATCCCAAGAGACAACCCAGTTGCGGCACGCTGCCATCTGCAAGCATCTCACCCTTCCACGGCTCCGGCATGGAAACCAATAAAGTCACACGGTCCAGATCCTCCTGGGTAGTTCTCTAAAGTAGGGTCCCCTTTTAGGTTCCCAAATTAGTACAGCACCCTTATGAAAAGGACCTTAAAAGAGGCCCTAGTTTAGAAAACTACCCTCCTCGCCACGGAGATGTTCCGTGAGCACCGCCGTGAGGCGCTCATGACCCCCTCCGGTGGTCGAAAAGCCCAGCACAAAGAGGCGCCTAGTGCCTTGCAAGATGGATCTTACTGAGGCCTGTGGGCAGCTCTCCGACATTGCCATCAGAGCAGGCTAAACCGCAATACACCCCTTCAGCCCTAGAACCTAACCCCTAAACCCCGAAACCCTAAACCCTTAACCCCAACCCCTAAACCCTAAAAACTAGACCTTAGGGGCCTAAACAGGGTTCGTAGTTCGAGAAGCCTTTTTGGAAGCGAGGGGATAAGGATTGGGGGCTTGGGCATCGCTTGGGGGGTTTTTTGAAGTCCTAAAACCTAGTGTGCTTAGTGTAGGGTTTAGGGTTCAGGATTTAGAGTTTAGGGTTTAGGGTTGGGGTGGGAATGAGTACTCAAAGCATCCCCGTACTAGAATTCTAGTACAATATGCCCCAAAACCTTATTCCAACTGCTAAAAGGTTGATGCCCCAAACCCTAAACCCTAAATACGTAAGGTCCCTAAACCCAACAGCCGGCAGTTTGGGTTCAGGGCTCGGGGTTGGGGGCCTGGGAGCCTCCCGACAGTGCTGTAGCCCGGCTGCGCGCGGTTAGGGTTTAGGGTTTAGGGTTGGGGTTTTAGGGTTTAGGGCTTCGGGCTTAGGGTTTAGGGTTTAGGGTTTCGGGTTTTGGGTGTTGGGTTTACGGTTTAGGGTTTTGGGTTTCGGGCCCAAGTTGGTCGGGCTTGGGTGGGGAGTCCCTACACCCTAAACCCCCAAGCCCCTAAACCCCCCGAAAACATGAATCTACTGCGGATCTCTAAGGAACACTTAGAGGATCGAGGGACTTAGTAAGTGGGGTTGTAGGTGAATTAATTGAGAGCAGCTAAAACTATGGTTATCTTACGTATAACCCACTCACTAAGTCCCCTGAGCCTCCAAGTAGACCCTTAACCCTCAACCCCAAATCCCTTACCAAAATCCTTCTAATGCTGGTAAAGGAACCCTAAACCCTAAACCTAAACCCTAAACCCTAAACCCTTAACCATAAACCCTAAACCCACTAAGTCGCCTGAAACTCCGAAAGCGCTGACGACGCACAGGCCCCCTTCACGATAGGGTTGTAATTTAGGGTTTAGGGTTTAGGGCTAGGGCTTCTGGCTTTGGGTTTGGGGGTTTAGGGCTAAGGGTTTAGGGTTTGGGGGTCTCGGAGACCCCGGGTTGAAACTCATACAGCCACCTGAAAATCCTGCACCTTCAGCCACATACCTCTAACCAAAAACCCTCCTCAATCTCCAAGCTAAATTGCCCCCGAAAGGGCCCAAATTAAAGGAAACTACAGGTGGGGAGTTTAGGGTTTTTTAGGGCTTCTATAAGGCTTCTAATAGGGTAGATAAACCTTCTATAAGGCTCCTATAACTACCTTCGAAGTGCCCTAAAGGATAGAAGCTTTGATTCGCCCGAGGGTTGGTGACCGGGAAGTACGCCTAAATCCCCGAGGCTCGAAATCCCAAACACCCTAAACCCTAAACCCCTAAACCTCACCCTAAACCCCTAAAGTCTAAACCCCTAAACCCCAACACCCCTAAAGCCTAGACCCTCAAACCCTACAACCCCAAATCCCAAGGCCCCACACGTCGCGCCCTGTATCCCTACACACTCCGATCAGACCTGCAAGAATCTGAAAACTCTTGAAAAAGCCGCAGACGACATCTTAAGAACACCTTACAAAACATCATAAAGCTTTCAAACATTCCCAAGGCCCATAATCATAGCCAAAACTCACATACACATATGTGTGTATGTGCATATCATATATATATATATAT